CACACACACACACACACACACACACACACACACACACACACACACACACACACACACACATATTGTGATACATATATACCTATATATGTCGTACAAGTAAGTAGTACGTATTCCGCTTTGGTCGTAAGATTTACGTTATAATCTAAAACCAAGAAGCAAGAGAACAGATAAAGAATGAAAGCAAGAAAACGTGTAGCTTGATCGTAGAATCAGATAGACGGCAGAAATGTTTGGATATTTGGATTCTGTAATATGTAGATGATAAAAAATGTAGCTGTTATCCTTGTGTAGTCTGTTTACCGAGAGATTTAGTCGCGGTGAAGTGAATCAAATTCGTAAACGCGTATTGTAACGTGATCAGTAATTTTCTAGAATCTTAAGAATTCGGCAAGCGCGATGGAGAACGCATGCATACGAGGAAAGATTTTGTGTCATTTACAACTCGTTCTGGGCTACAAGTGAGATTGGATTAGCGTGAAAACATTTAGTAATTGAGAAAATAATCAATTTAGCGAAATCAATAGCGAAATCAAAGAGAAACGTCCACTGAGAAACGTGAATAAGTTTAGAAGGGAAAGTATTATAGATATCACAGTTGAGCTTAGATATCACACAATAATATCTGTAGTATTTTTTCATTGCACGTTTTAGTTATAGAAACTTAAATACAATACTATTGCTTTTATTTAACAAATTGAATGACGCATGATTAAACACTATGATTTGTCCACTTAGGGGCAGTTGTCCCATCTTCGGGTAAACTGTATACTATGTGACAATTTATTTAATAAATAAACAAAAGAGTAAAAGTAAAGAGAGTAAGAAAGCGAGCTGAAGAGAGAGAATTTATCGGAAGATGGAACAGAGCCTTAGTACTTAAATTAAAAAGAAATAATTATAAATATACTGTTAAGGAAAAAAGAACCATTAAGAGAATCAAAAAACTTTTTATAAAACATACGTTAAGAAGAAAAAATTGGCGTTGAAAGGAATTCTGACTTCTATTTGAATTTCTTAAAAATGGGAACAGAACAGAAGAATAACGAAGTTAAAGTTTCCAATGGAAATTAGATTCCTTCTAACTCCATTTATTTTACAGGACAAGATCTACTTTTGTAAAAGGATAGTAACTTTCTTATGCTTCGAGATTCAATCATGAATGTGAATGAACACTATCGTATGAATTATCTAGCAGGGAAGATTGTTGGTGTTGCCGTAGAATCTTTTTCCGTATGTATGCGTGCTCGTCGTATGATTTAAAGAAGCTTCATACTTCAGTAGTCATAGCTGAACATACTATTTTTGATCTGTGAATGATGATAAGGGCGACTGTGGCGACTAGCCAGCTACCCAAATTGATTGCTCGTACTTACAATTAATACCGTAGTCATTCCCGTTAAACTCGAGTGCTTCTTGTTCCATTTACGATTAGCAGGGACGGGATGGTGGGATCGCATGTTCCCCCGCATGCCAAATGATACAACACACAAACAACATTCGGATTCGAACAAAGTCGAGGGCACAAGTGGTCTCGATCCGAACCTATTCGGAATATTTGATACGTCCGAGAGGCGAGACTGTTATTATTTTAACTCTTATCGCGTACCACATAAACTTATAATTGATATAAGATGGGGCTGCTGTATTTTTACACGGACTTTGTACAAATATAACGGAATTCTCGCGCGGAAATCCTGCGCTGAAGAGATATGTACATACCTGTATACCAATAAATACTAGACGAAATGTGGAGAAATGAAGAAGCTGCGACCGTGCAAAGAAAAAAAAAACTAGCTCACACGTATATAGTATAATATTATTGCAAGACACGTTTTTATTTAGTAAAAATATCCAGATAAAAGAACATGCTTTAATTTGGGGAGAAGCGGAAAGGACTAGTTTTCTATTAAATATATATGCCATAAATTAAATTTAGTAAAATTAATCATTACATTAGGATATGAATTTCGAAGAATATAATACAATTTTTTAAATAGACTTTCAGAATTGAGAAGTTTTTGCACTCGTTATTGCACGGTCGTGAACTTCAATCTTTATTAGTATTATTCCGTCATCTCTTCTTTTTGAATATGATTCTTTTATTAAGCAGATTTTCAAATCTTAAATAAAAATGAGATCACATTAGATGAGACATTTAACTAAATTGTATTTTTTTTCGTAATGTAATTGTAAATAATTATACAATGTAATTGTAATTATAATTACAGAGAATGTATAATTTTACTTTTTATCTTTTAAGCATTTATTATTGATTTTACGTGTTTATTTATTGGAATTTTCATTGGAATTTTTGCGATCTCTCATATTTGTAACGCAAACTTTCAGGGAATTATCCTTTTTTTTGCAATCTTTGTTATTATCATTTTTATCGTTAGACTGTTTTACGCTCGTTGCAGTTAATTGATTTGCATTTTTATCTTTCTCTTGCGCAAAAATTTCGGCCTGTCGTTCTAAAATATTCATAGCATAATTAACTCTGTTATTTATTATAACTTCTTTTAATTCTTCTCCATATTGAATTTCTGTAATATAATTATATGACTAATTTAATTTCTAACATTTTCAGAATTTCTAATAGGTATGTATATTTGAAACTATATAGTATCATGAATAATTCTATAATTCAAAATCATGT